TCCCCCGCCGCCTCCTGCATGCCCACCGCCCCCGCCATGTCCACCACCGCCGCCACCAGTGCCCTGTCCACCTCCGCCACCACCACCACAATGCCCGCCGCCCCCACCACCAATTCCATGTCCACCACCGCCACCGCCACCACCATGCGACTGTGTAAGTTTTTGAAGTTTTCATTTTTTGTAACACTTACATAGTATTTGAACACTTGAAATTTTAATAAAGTCTAACATTCATACTAGTTATTTATTGAGTTAAGTTAGAACCAATTATATTTATATACGTTTGTTTGTGTAATTCTGGGTACGTGTGTTTGCTTTAGGTAAAGTGGTAGTGTTTAAAAAATTTCTGGGTCTGTGTTGCTTTACATGATACCTGATTTTGACTGATTGTTCTTAATTTATCAGATTATATATTAGATAAAGTTAAATAGAATTGTACTTACATAATTGATTTAGATTTCTTGCTTGGGTCCATATTCAGGTATTCCTATTTTTGTATGCATTTTTTTTATTTTGCTTATTTTTACTTATTAAACCATGCCTAATTTATTTAAAACATATCTGATTTTGTTTTTTAGGGGGACGGGGGTGGTGGTGGTGATGGTGGTGGTGCTGTCGGCTGTTGCTGTATTGCACCTTGCCGCCGTCGGAGCAAAGTTGCTGCATCTAAAGCTAGCAAGACAAAAGTTTTCGGAAAAGACTGGTCATCGCCGGTATCCAGGGCACACAGGATCAATCGACGAGATGCTATTGCCGTTGCTGCTTCTACTGTCAAGGATGAGGAAGACCCGCGCTGCAATGATCATCAACTGAAAAAAATCATTTTTGAGGTGATGAGTTTTTTTTAATGAAGGGAAAGAAAGTACAATTTAGGAAGCCTAGCAAACTGACCACCAGACGACGCGGCATTGCTCAAAAAGAAAACCAGAAAGGATGCAGAGATGAAGAACCGGACTATGAATTACAACTGAACAAAGCATTTTAAGCTTTATTAGTATGGTATTTTAAAAATCTGT